TTAAGAAGAGGTATGACAAATATCATGGAGCAGGGAGAGAGTGAATTAGTATCGACCAGTGAAGAGGCGGGGCTAGGAGCTATGACTCGACCCCTGCAATCACATATAGGTGAGTACATATAGGTGAGTACATTCACATTCACTCCGTTATCCCAGGCACTTTGCTAAACACAGAGAAATTTACATAACACACATTGTGAACTAAACAGAAAACAAACGCATTTGGTGTTTTTATGGTTGCTTTGCGAGGCGTTTGAAATCCTTGTGAGGTGTTGCAGAACTCCCAAAACGTGCTGCAGATCCCTTATGAGGTGTTGCAGATCCTTCCAAAGGTGTTGGAGATGCCTTGTGAGGTGTTGGAAACCCTTGCGTCTCACAAGTGTGCAGTTACACTAAGAATGGTTAAAACCCAGAGTATTATTTACACATTTGTACCCTTATAATTCTGTTGTGTGTGTGTTTCTCTTAGTGATTCCCCTCTAGTGAGGCTCCTTGATGCTAGTGAAGGACTGGTAGCTCAAGAAATTGTATCTGCTATTCCAGTAGTCAACCATGATTGATCAGTCACCAGGAACAGTGTGGTCCCTGCGTTTTTAGCGCTTCCTCGTAATGTTTTAACACAGGAGGCTGGAATCATTGTGGACCATTACAGCGTCTGGATAAGTCATGACGGACTAGGAGGCTGGAATCATGGACCAGGAGGCTTGAATCATTGTGGACCATTACAGCGTCTGTCATGACGGACTAGGAGGCTGGAATCATGGACCAGGAGGCTGGAATCAGTGTGGACCATTACAGCGTCTGTCATGACGGACTAGGAGGCTGGAATCATGGACCAGGAGGCTGGAATCATTGTGGACCATTACAGCGTCTGTCATGACGGACTAGGAGGCTGGAATCATGGACCAGGAGGCTTGAATCATGGACCAGGAGGCTGGAATCATGGACCAGGAGGTTGGAATCATGGACCAGGAGGATGGAATCATGGACCAGGAGACTGGGATCATTGTGGACCATTACAGCGTCTGTCATGACGGACTAGGAGGCTGGAATCATGGACCAGGAGGCTTGAATCATGGACCAGGAGGCTGGAATCATGGACCAGGAGGTTGGAATCATGGACCAGGAGGTTGGAATCATGGACCAGGAGGATGGAATCATGGACCAGGAGGCTGGGATCATTGTGGACCATTACGGCGTCGGGATGAATATTGACTGACCAGGAGGTTGGAATCATGGACCAGGAGGTTGGAATCATTGTGGACCATTAGGCGTCGGGATGAATATTGACTGACCAGGAGGTTGGAATCATTGTGGACCATTAGGCGTCGGGATAATTTTTGAGGGGACCAGGGGGTTGGAATCATGGACCAGGAGGTTGGAATCATTGTGAACCATTATGGCGTCGGGATGAATATTTACCATGAGGCTGGAATCATGGACCAGGAGGTTGGAATCATGGACCAGGAGGTTGGAATCATGGACCAGCAGGCTGGGATCATTGTGGACTTTACGGAGTCGGGATGAATGTTGACTGACCAGGAGGTTGGAATCATGGACCAGGAGGTTGGAATCATGGACCAGGAGGTTGGAGTCATTGTGGACCATTATGGCATCGGGATGAATATTGGCCAGGAGGTTGGAATCATGGACCAGGAGGTTGGAATCATGGACCAGGAGGTTGGAATCATTGTGGACCATTACGGCGTCGGGATGAATATTGACCAGTAGCCTGGAATCATGGACCAGGAGGTTGGAATCATGGACCAGGAGGCTGGAATCATTGTGAACCATTACGGTGTCTAGATGAATCCAGACACTATAATAGTCCATAATGAATCCAGCCTCCTGGAATCATTATGAACCATTAAGGTGTCTGGATCAATCACAGACTAATGGTGATAGCAAATAGTGTAATACTGAAGACTTGATCCTGAACGCTTGACTAGGCGTGAGGACTTACCCTTGAAGAACGAGGGAGGAGAGGAACGAGGGAGGAGAGGAACGAGGGAGGAGAGGAACGAGGGAGGAGAGGAACGAGGAAGGAGAGGAACGAGGGAGGAGAGGACGAGGGAGGAGAGGAACGAGGGAGGAGAGGAATGAGGAAGGAGAGGAACGAGGGAGGAGAGGAACGAGGGAGGAGAGGAACGAGGGAGGAGAGGAACGAGGGAGGAGAGGAACGAGGGAGGAGAGGAACGAGGAAGAAGAAAATAAAACTCGGGGAACCATATATAAGTATTCTCTGGAAAATAAATATTACTATTATTATTAATCTTCGTGGACAGGAAGCTTACCTAAGCAAATTACTATAGTGTAAGGGCACGCACCTCATTACTGGTTAATGAGGTCGTTATAGGCGGGCAGTAGTTAGCGACCCGCGGTGCCACGACCTTAACTGCCTCTTGTAACGACCTCCTGGGTAGAGAAATAATAGTGATTGAGTGGCGATGGTTAACTACTGGCGGTAGTTAATGTTGGTGGTACTGTTGTAGAGAGTAGTTACTGGTGGTAGTGCTGTTGTAGAGAGCAGTTACTGGTGGTAGTACTGTTGTAGAGAGTAGTTACTGGTGGTAGTACTGTTGTAGAGATTAGTTACTGGTGGTAGTACTGTTGTAGAGAGGAGTTACTGGTGGTAGTACTGTTGTAGAGAGTAGTTACTGGTGGTAGTACTGTTGTAGAGAGTAGTTACTGGTGGTAGTACTGTTGTAGAGAGTAGTTACTGGTGGTAGTACTGTTATAGAGAGGCAAAGGCAATGTTCGTGGCTTTCACTGAGACCCACGTAAAGGATCACTTGGACAACGAAATATGGATCCCAGGTTACAACCTATACAGATGTGACAGAGTGAACAGGCAAAGGGGGGGGGGGTTGGCCTGTATATTGCAGAGTCACTTGTTTGCACAGAACTGCTTAATGCCTCAAATGATGTAGTGGAAGTTTTAGCAGTAAAGGTCGAGAACCAAAACCTAGTCATTGTGGTAATCTACAAGCCTCCGGATGCAACATCCCAGCAATTCCAGGAACAGCTGTTAAAAATTGACCACTGTCTGGAAAATCTTCCAGCTCCTGCACCCAACATCTTGGTCCTGGGGGATTTCAACTTAAGGCACCTAAAATGGAGGAATATAGCAAATAATATTGTTGCAGTAATAACACCAGGAGGCAGCTCTGATGAAAACTCACACTCACACGAGCTTTTAAATCTCTGCACAAATTCAATTTAAACCAGCAAATAATAGAGCCTACTAGACTGGAGAATACACTAGACCTCATCTTCACTAACAATGATGATCTGATAAGAAATGTCACCATATCAAAAACAATATACTCCTCACTAACAGAACACAGAGAGTAGTCGTCAACAGAGTAAAGTCCGAGGCAGCTACGGTGAAAAGCTCTGTTCCACAAGGCACAGTACTCGCTCCCATCTTGTTCCTCATCCTCATATCCGACATAGACAAGGATGTCAGCCACAGCACCGTGTCTTCCTTTGCAGATGACACCCGAATCTGCATGACAGTGTCTTCCATTGCAGACACTGCAAGGCTCCAGGCGGACATCAACCGAATCTTTCAGTGGGCTGCAGAAAACAATATGAAGTTCAAACGATGAGAAATTTCAATTACTCAGATATGGTAAACACGAGGAAATTAAATCTTCATCAGAGTACAAAACAAATTCTGGCCACAAAATAGAGCGAAACACCAACGTCAAAGACCTGGGAGTGATTATGTCGGAGGATCTCACCTTCAAGGACCATAAACATTGTATCAATCGCATCTGCTAGAAAAATGACAGGATGGATAATGAGAACCTTCAAAACTAGGGAGGCCAAGCCCATGATGACACTCTTCAAGTCACTTGTTCTATCTAGGCTGGAATATTGCTGCACACTAACAGCACCTTTCAAGGCAGGTGAAATTGCTGACCTAGAAAATGTACAGAGAACCTTCACGGCGCGCATAACGGAGATAAAACACCTCAATTACTGGGAGCGCTTGAGGTTCCTAAACCTGTATTCCCTGGAACGCAGGAGGGAGAGATACATGATTATATACACCTGGAAAATCCTAGAGGGACTAGTACCGAACTTGCACACGAAAATCACTCACTACGAAAGCAAAAGACTTGGCAGACGATGCACCATCCCCCCAATGAAAAGCAGGGGTGTCAGTAGCACGTTAAGAGACCATACAATAAGTGTCAGGGGCCCGAGACTGTTCAACTGCCTCCCAGCACACATAAGGGGGATTACCAACAGACCCCTGGCAGTCTTCAAGCTGGCACTGGACAAGCACCTAAAGTCGGTACCTGATCAGCCGGGTTGTGGCTCGTACGTTGATTTGCGTGCAGCCAGCAGTAACAGCCTGGTTGATCAGGCTCTGATCCACCAGGAGGCCTGGTCACAGACCGGGCCGCGGGGGCGATGACCCCCGGAACTCTCTCCAGGTCTCTCTCCAGGTAAACATAAAGGGCCCTAAAATATGGAATTCATTACCAGAAGATATTAAAGTAACCCAGTCTGAAAATCAATTTAAGACTCTTCTCAAAAGCCACTTAATCACCCTAGACTAAATGCTAAATACTCAGTACACATTTACTTATGTACTCCCACATCATAACTTCAACAATCACTTTGAACCTTTTATCCATTGTTGACAGGAATATAATTGAATCATTGTTTTCACAAAAAGTATTTTAGACTATATGAATATATCTTTTATCTTATACAAATTTTAATTCATTTATAATTAATAATCTACTGTACAACTGAAATAATTACTATCCTAATGTACAACTATGATATACTCCTTAGTGTTAAGTAGACTGTAAGTCAATAATGTCAAGTTGGCCCATAATGCATAGGCATAATAGAGGCTCTTTTTTACATTGTAACCCACTATTATAAATATAAAATCTCAAGGTACTGTTTGCAAAGACATAAAATAAATAAATAAAATCAAAATAAATAAAACAAACAAAATAAGGGTATAATAAAGCGCCATGTTTGGTGGCCCTGAACATCCACCACAACATCTACACAATGTCCAGAGTAATTCGTTTTTATCGTGTTTTAAGAAGAAATCCGAAGAAATCTATAGTTTTGTCTGCAATATTAGCTGGCGGTGTTAATTATGGTATAGATAAGTATGAGTGAGTAATGTATTTAGGCTTATTTTCTGTAATTAGTGGGTAATTGTGTGGTGTTCTTTGATGATGCTCGGTGGTTCTTGATCCAAGGAACTGCAGCTCTTCCTTGGCTCGAAATTAATTATATTCCATTTTTCCAGGGAGGGTGGATGATCCCTACGGGTTTGGAGCGTTGTAATACTCATAATATTTATTTATCTTTCGATTCTTGTGCCGGCTTTATTTTAACCATTATTAAAAAAAATAATTATACATTAAGTTGATTCTATGGTTAATATATTATTTTTTGTGCATTTTTTATTAAAAATTACCAAAAGTAACAAAACAACCCAACGTGAAGTAATTGTTCATTAACCTTACTCACCAACGGTAGTTTGTCCATTGTTTACACTCTGCCACGTGCAACTTTGCAATGTATAATTGTTGCACAAGCCACAGTAATGACTTGTTAACACTACCACGTAAACTAATTTACAACACTGAATACATTATTCCGTTTGTAATTAACCGTGACATGATTGTGTGCAACACTGAAACGTTGCAACACTGACTTGTGTGCAACACTGACACACGTGCAACACTGACTTGTGTGCAACACTGACACACGTGCAACACTGACTTGTGTGCAACACTGACACACGTGCAACACTGACTTGTGTGCAACACTGACACACGTGCAACACTGACTTGTGTGCAACACTGACACACGTGCAACACTGACTTGTGTGCAACACTGACACACGTGCAACACTGACTTGTGTGCAACACTGACAACACGTGCAACACTGACTTGTGTGCAACACTGACACACGTGCAACACTGACTTGTGTGCAACACTGACACACGTGCAACACTGACTTGTGTGCAACACTGACACACGTGCAACACTGACTTCTGTGCAACACTGACACACGTGCAACACTGACTTCTGTGCAACACTGACACACGTGCAACACTGACTTGTGTGCAACACTGACACACGTGCAACACTGACTTCTGTGCAACACTGACACACGTGCAACACTGACATACATGCAACACTGACACACGTGCAACACTGACACATGCAACACTGACACATACATGTAACACTGACACACGTGCAACACTGACACACGTGCAACACTGACATACATGCAACACTGACACACGTGCAACACTGACACATGCAACACTGACACATACATGTAACACTGACACACGTGCAACACTGACACACATGCAACACTTGCACATCTTTAGTGCTGAATCGTTGCACTTGCACGATAAGCTAATTTAGGCTAATACAGGCAGAAAGTGTTTGACGGAATAGTTTGTTGTGTTGAATGTTTCTGCGATGAGTTGTGTACAATGTAATGTGTAAATTATATTTTTAATTCCAGTGTAGTAGTAGTAGTAGTAGTATAAGTTATTATAGTAATCACTGTCATGATAGTAGTGATAGTAGTAGTCAGTCAGTCATGGCAGTAGTTGTAGTAGTCATTATTAGTAGTTGTAGTAATTACAGTAGGTGTGGTAGTCATAGCAGCAATAATAATTGTAGTAGTCATGGTAGTAGTCACAGTCATGGTGGTAGTCACAGTCATGGTAGTAGTCACAGTCATGGTAGTAGTCACAGTCATGGCAGTAGTCACAGTCATGGTAGTAGTCACAGTCATGGTAGTAGTCACAGTCATGGTAGTAGTCACAGTCATGGTAGTAGTCACAGTCATGGCAGTGGTAGTAAACATCATTAACCTAAAATATAGTCAGTAATAAAGAGAATTCAGGCGCAATAACGCATTTTAACAAAATGACGGCTGATGTAACTTACGTATATGTCTTATTTTTCCCAGAGCAGCGCTGAAAGACCCTTATGGGTTAAACTTTCCACGAATATAATAATTTTTTGACAGAGAGAAGCAGATGATGCGAGCCTTCTGTGAGAAAGCTATGGTGTATGGGGAGTGTAGCAAGCCGCTGGGGGAACCTGAACGACATATTACCGTTCTTCTCAACCCTGCCGCTAAGGACGGGTCAGTAAATCCATCTTTATTTCAGCATTATTTTTACTGTTTCATTCAGTTTCTCCCTTTAAGAGGAGTACGTAATTTTGTTTTTAAGTATAAGTACAAATAAGTACACTTATCATTCAGTGTAAATTACCTAGGATAACCTAAAAAAGTCAGTAACATATTTCCATTAGGGTCCTTGAGTGCCTTAATGCTGGTGAAGGGCTTTGGATCCAGGGAATATGAGTTGCCTTTTTCTTCCTCAGAATAACTGTTATTATCACCTTCCATTTTCCAGGCTTCATATGGCCTCTACTGATTTAGAGATATTTTCACGATAATATTTTTGAACATTGGCCATATACTGAGGTAGATTGATCCAAGAAATAAAATACCTTCACTGTCATTCACTCACTGTCTTATCCGAAGGTCACTGACATTACAGTTCGGATATCCATCCAAACTAGAACATCCTCGCTACTTGAGGATACAGGCACTGTACTTCCCACCTCCAGGACTCAAATCCGGCTAACCGGTTTCCCTGAATCCCTTCATGAATGTTACCTTGCTCACACTCCAACAGCATGTCAAATCATAAAAAACTACTTGCCTCCATTTACTCTTATCTAACATGCTCATACAAGCCTGCTGGGTGTTGAAGCCCTTATCACTCAAAACCTGCATTACCCCCTTCTTCCAGTGTTTTCTAGAATAAATCTACATTATGTACCATTAGTGTATTCCTACATTTGTGCCCTCAGAACCATTGAACACATATTTACTAAAGCTTCTCAGCTCCAGGCTAGGTTCTAGGTTGAAATATACAGATGAATTTTCTGAGCTTGTCTCCTTGTGGGTTATTATTGAGCATAAGTACTGTATATACCATATTTAGCCAGTAAAGTTTGGTTGTGGTATAAGTTATCAGTATACCTGGAGGGGATTTGGGGGGTTAACACCCCCTGCAGCTTGGTCCATGGCCAAGTCTCTGTATGTTATTGTGTTTAATTGTCTTATGTTTTCCTACAGCAAGGGCAAGGTGCAGTTTGAGCGGTATTGTGCCCCACTGTTGCACTTAGCAGGAATTAAAGTTGCAACTGTGAGGACGGAGAATGAAGGCCAGGCCAGAGACTTGATGGAAATCATGGAGAATACTAATGCTGTTGTGGTTGCAGGTGGCGATGGAACCTTGGGTGAAGTAAGTCCAAGTGTTTTGCTTGAAGTATGACCTAAACGACAAGTGGTGATATGTCTTTAATATACAGTGGACCCTCAACCAACGGCATTAATCCGTTCCAGAGAGCTAGCCGTTAGTCGAATTTGCTGTTAGTTGAATTAATTTTCCCCATAAGAAATAATGGAAATAGAATTAATCCATTCCAGACACCCAAAAGTATTAACCCTTAAACTGTCCAAACGTAGATCTACGTTTTTTCAAGATTGAAAGTATGTAAATAAAGTAGATCTTTTTTTTTTTTTACATTTGAAAACGTGTAAAAAAAACTTTGATCTACCTTTTTTTTTTTTTTTGTTATACTTGAAAATATGTAAAAGAAACGTAGATCTACTTTTGGAGCACTACGCATGTGAACGTAGATCTGCTTGGACAGTTTAAGGGTTAAGGGCTAAACAAATAATTTTTTTTACATGAAATATACATTTCCCTACACAAAAACGAATGGGACATGCAAAATAAACAATAATTAAATGCCACTTACCTTTATTGTGGGGTTGATGAGTGATGAGATGGTAGGAGGGCAGATGATCCAGGTGTTTTATTGTTTGGAAGGGGAATCCCCTTCCATAAAGACTTGAGGTACTAAGCCCTTCTTGGTTTTTTAATGCCACTAGGACCAGCTTGAGAGTCACTGGACCCCTGTCGCACCAAAAATCTGTCCAGAGAGCTCTGTTTCTCACGTGCCCTTAGGATTTTCCTAAAATGGGACACAAGAGTGTCATTGTACATGTTGCCAATGCGGCTTGCAACTTCTGTGACAGGATAAAATTCATCTATAAATGCTTGCACCTTTGTAAACATTGAACACATTTCCCTAATCCTTAACGAAGTCATCTTCCTCCATCTCTCTTCCTCCTGCTCTGAAGAACATTCCTGAGATGTGATCTGTTGCTGTTGCACCTGAAGCTCTTGCAGGTCTGCAGTGGTTAGTTCTTCCTCGTCGTTCAACACCAACTCTTCCACATCCTCGCCACAAACCTCCAACCCCAAGGACTTCCCCAATGACACAATAGCTTCCACTACTGGCATAGGCTCCTGAGGGTTAGCCCCAAACCCTTCAAAATCCCTCTCTGTACACATTGTGGCCAATTTCCTCCAAGCAGAGTTCAAAGTCCTGCAAGTCACTCCCTCCCAAGCCTTACCTATAAGGTTTATGCAACTGAGGATATTGAAGTGATCTTTCAAAAACTCTCTTAAGGTCTGAGGTCACTTCAAAGCACTTTTGAAACACTGCTTTTGTGTAGTGTTTTTTGAAGTTTGAAATGACCTGCTGGTCCATGGGCTGGAGGAGAGGAGTTGTATTAGGAGACAAAAACTTCACCTTAACAAAACCAAACTCCCCTGCAATTTCCTCTTGCAAGTTGTGAGGATGAGCAGGAGCATTGTCCATTACCAGGAGGCACTTGAGTGACAATTTCTTTCCCTGGAGGTATTTTGTCACAGTGGGGCCAAACACACCATAAAACCAGCCCAAGAAAAGTTCCCTAGTGACCCATGCCTTACTGTTTGATCTCCACAGCACACACAAATTACCCTTGATGATGATATTTTTCCTGAACACACTGGGAGTTTCAGAGTGATACACCAATAAAGGCTTCACTTTCCAATCACCACTAGCATTACTACACAACATTAATGTTAGCCTGTCTTTCATAGGCTTATGTCCTGGGAGTGTCTTTTCCTCCTGAGTAATGTTGGTCCTGTTTGGCATTTTCTTCCAAAGCAGGCCTGTTTCATCACAATTAAACACTTGTTCAGGTTTTAAGTTTTCAGTCTCTATGAATTCCTTAAAGTCCTTCACATATTTTTCAGCTGCATTTTTGTCTGAACTGGCTGCCTCACCATGCCTTACCACACTGTGTATGCCACTACGATTCTTAAATCTCTCAAACCAGCCTTTGCTGGCCTTAAATTCATCAGTATCATCACTATTTTGAGGCATTTTCTTAATGAGATCATCATGCAACTGCCTTGCCTTTTCACAAATTATAGACTTAGAAACACTATCTCCTGATAATTGTTTTTCGTTTATCCATACCAATAACAGTCTCTCTACCTCTAAAATTATTTGCAGTCTACGTTTTGAAAACATATTTGCACCTTTCGCAACAACAGCTTCCTTGATTAACTTTTCTGTTCGCCAAGATAGTACTGATGGTTGAATGGAGTTTGTTGTATAGCCTTTCTAACTCGGACATATGCACTCCACTTTCGTATTTTTCAATTATCTCTTTCTTCATTTCCATCGAAATTCTCACCCTTTTTAACACAGGCTTAGCACTAGAAGCTTTCTTGGGGCCCATGGTGGCTTATTTAGCAGTTACAAGCACTAAAAACACTGGAATAATCCAAAATATATGGCAGGTACATGTGGAATCGACCGCAACAGCTTGTAAACAATGGCACACTGAGTCTTGGAGTGGCTGGGCCCGCTCAGGCCGCGCTCCCGCCTCATGGACATGTTCCGGACGAACTCTGTTAGACAAGTTTTTCGCCATTGATAGAGCCATTTTTTTACGCCAAAGAGCGCTGTTAGACGAATTTACCGTTGCTTGATGCCGCCGTTGGGCGGGGTCCACTGTACTTCTAAAAATATTTTAAATAATTTTTAATACTTTTAATACACTTTCAGACTGGAGTATTTTTATACATTTTTCAAACCATGTTTAATACTTCTTTCAAACTGTAAATTGTACTACAGTAAGTCCTAAACTTAAAAACACGTTGGGGGGCCTGTACTGTGTATGATATTCGTAATACAGGAAGTCTTCAACTTAGGAACACGTTGGGGACCCGTACTGTGTATGATATTCATAATACAGGAAGTCTTCAACTTAGGAACACGTTGGGAACCCGTACTGTGTATAATAATATTTATATTTTATTTTATTATCACACTGGCTGATTCCCACCAAGGCAGGGTGGCCCGAAAAAGAAAAACTTTCACCATCATTCACTCCATCACTGTCTTGCCAGAAGGGTGCTTTACACTACAGTTTTTAAACTGCAACATTAACACCCCTCCTTCAGAGTGCAGGCACTGTACATCCCATCTCCAGGACTCGAGTCCGGCCTGCCGGTTTCCCTGAATCCCTTCATAAATGTTACTTTGCTCACACTCCAACAGCACGTCAAGTATTAAAAACCATTTGTCTCCATTCACTCCTATCAAACACGCTCACGCATGCCTGCTGGAAGTCCAAGCCCCTCGCACACAAAACCTCCTTTACCCCCTCCCTCCAACCTTTCCTAGGCCGACCCCTACCCCGCCTTCCTTCCACTACAGACTGATACACTCTTGAAGTCATTCTGTTTCGCTCCATTCTCTCTACATGTCCGAACCACCTCAACAACCCTTCCTCAGCCCTCTGGACAACAGTTTTGGTAATCCCGCACCTCCTCCTAACTTCCAAACTACGAATTCTCTGCATTATATTCACACCACACATTACCCTCAGACATGACATCTCCACTGCCTCCAGCCTTCTCCTCGCTGCAACATTCATCACCCACGCTTCACACCCATATAAGAGCGTTGGTAAAACTATACTCTCATACATTCCCCTCTTTGTCTCCAAGGACAAAGTTCTTTGTCTCCACAGACTCCTAAGTGCACCACTCACTCTTTTTCCCTCATCAATTCTATGATTCACCTCATCTTTCATAGACCCATCTGCTGACACGTCCACTCCCAAATATCTGAATACGTTCACCTCCTCCATACTCTCTCCCTCCAATCTGATATTCAATCTTTCATCACCTAATCTTTTTGTTATCCTCATAACCTTACTCTTTCCTGTATTCACCTTTAATTTTCTTCTTTTGCACACCCTACCAAATTCATCCACCAATCTCTGCAACTTCTCTTCAGAATCTCCCAAGAGCACAGTGTCATCAGCAAAGAGCAGCTGTGACAACTCCCACTTTGTGTGTGATTCTTTATCTTTTAACTCCACGCCTCTTGTCAAGACCCTCGCATTTACTTCTCTTACAACCCCATCTATAAATATATTAAACAACCACGGTGACATCACACATCCTTGTCTAAGGCCTACTTTTACTGTGAAATAATTTCCCTCTTTCCTACATACTTTAACTTGAGCCTCACTATCCTCGTAAAAACTCTTCACTGCTTTCAGTAACCTACCTCCTACACCATACACTTGCAACATCTGCCACATTGCCCCCCTATCCACCCTGTCATACGCCTTTTCCAAATCCATAAATGCCACAAAGACCTCTTTAGCCTTATCTAAATACTGTTCACTTATATGTTTCACTGTAAACACCTGGTCCACACACCCCCTACCTTTCCTAAAGCCTCCTTGTTCATCTGCTATCCTATTCTCCGTCTTACTCTTAATTCTTTCAATTATAACTCTACCATACACTTTACCAGGTATACTCAACAGACTTATCCCCCTATAATTTTTGCACTCTTTTATCTCCTTTGCCTTTATACAAAGGAACTATGCATGCTCTCTGCCAATCCCTAGGTACCTTACCCTCTTCCATACATTTATTAAATAATTGCACCAACCACTTCAAAACTATATCCCCACCTGCTTTTAACATTTCTATCTTTATCCCATCAATCCCAGCTGCCTTACCCCCTTTCATTTTACCTACTGCCTCACGAACTTCCCCCACACTCACAACTGGCTCTTCCTCACTCCTACAAGATGTTATTCCTCCTTGCCCTATACACGAAATCACAGCTTCCCTATCTTCATCAACATTTAACAATTCCTCAAAATATTCCCTCCATCTTCCCAATACCTCTAACTCTCCATTTAATAACTCTCCTCTCCTATTTTTAACTGACAAATCCATTTACTCTCTAGGCTTTCTTAACTTGTTAATCTCACTCCAAAACTTTTTCTTATTTTCAACAAAATTTGTTGATAACATCTCACCCACTCTCTCATTTGCTCTCTTTTTACATTGCTTCACCACTCTCTTAACCTCTCTCTTTTTCTCCATATACTCTTCCCTCCTTGCATCACTTCTACTTTGTAAAAACTTCTCATATGCTAACTTTTTCTCCCTTACTACTCTCTTTACATCATCATTCCACCAATCGCTCCTCTTCCCTCCTGCACCCACTTTCCTGTAACCACAAACTTCTGCTGAACACTCTAACACTACATTTTTAAACCTACCCCATACCTCTTCGACCCCATTGCCTATGCTCTCATTAGCCCATCTATCCTCCAATAGCTGTTTATATCTTACCCTAACTGCCTCCTCTTTTAGTTTATAAACCTTCACCTCTCTCTTCCCTGATGCTTCTATTCTCCTTGTATCCCATCTACCTTTTACTCTCAGTGTAGCTACAACTAGGAAGTGATCTGATGTATCTGTGGCCCCTCTATAAACATGTACATCCTGAAGTCTACTCAACAGTCTTTTATCTACCAATACATAATCCAACAAACTACTGTCATTTCGCCCTACATCATATCTTGTATACTTATTTATCCTCTTTTTCTTAAAATATGTATTACCTATAACTAAACCCCTTTCTATACAAAGTTCAATCAAAGGGCTCCCATTATCATTTACACCTGGCACCCCAAACTTACCTACCACACCCTCTCTAAAAGTTTCTCCTACTTTAGCATTCAGGTCCCCTACCACAATTACTCTCTCACTTGGTTCAAAGGCTCCTATACATACACTTAACATCTCCCAAAATCTCTCTCTCTCCTCTGCATTCCTCTCTTCTCCAGGTGCATACACGCTTATTATGACCCACTTCTCGCATCCAACCTTTACTTTAATCCACATAATTCTTGAATTTACACATTCATATTCTCTTTTCTCCTTCCATAACTGATCATTTAACATTACTGCTACCCCTTCCTTTGCTCTAACTCTCTCAGATACTCCAGATTTAATCCCATTTATTTCCCCCCACTGAAACTCTCCTACCCCCTTCAGCTTTGTTTCGCTTAGAGCCAGGACATCCAACTTCTTTTCATTCATAACATCAGCAATCATCTGTTTCTTGTCATTCGCACTACATCCACGCACATTTCAGCATCCCAGTTTTATAAAGTTTTACTTCTTCTCTTTTTTAGTAAATGTCTACAGGAGAAGGGGTTACTAGCCCATTGCTCCCGGCATTTTAGTCGCCTCATACGACACGCATGGCTTACGGAGGAAAGATTCTTTTCCACTTCCCCATGGACAATAGAAGAAATAAAAAAGAACAAGAGCTATTTAGAAAAAGGAGAAAAACCTAGATGTATGTATATATATATATGCATGTGCGTGTCTGTGAAGTGTGACCAAAGTGTAAGTAGGAGTAGCAAGATATCCCTGTTATCTAGCGTGTTTATGAGACAGAAAAAGAAACCAGCAATCCTTCCATCATGCAAAACAGTTACAGGTTTTTGTTTCACAGTCATCTGGCAGGACGGTAGTACTTCCCTGGGTTAGTCTACTCAAAATACACCTGCATACTAGTGGCTTTCTTTGTGATTAACAGTATTTTATGGCTTGTAAACTAGTGTAAAGCACCCTTCTGGCAAGACAGTGATGGAGTGAATGATGGTGAAAGTTTTTCTTTTTCGGGCCACCCTGCCCTGGTGGGAATCGGCCAGTGTGATAATAATAAAAAAATAATAAACTACATTTTGTATACTACACAAAGAAATAAATTTTGTTAGATTATATTTCTTTTGGATGATCTTGCCTCTGTGGGAGTTGGGTAATGTATTAAGAGATTACTATAATAGACGTATATTTTCAGGTGTTGACTGGGCTGTTGCGTCGAGCTGACCACTCCGAGGCCGCCCGAAAACTTCCCCTGGGCATCCTGCCTCTCGGAAATACCAACACTTCCACTGCAGCTATATGGGGGTTTAGAGGAAACCCTGAGCCACGACATCTGGCCGAAGCAACGATGGCAATAGTTGAAGATATCAGACGTCCTCTAGATGTAATGGAAATAACTCCATTACAGGTGTGAATATCTTGAGTACATGTGCTCCTCAACTTACAATGGGATTATGTTCCGACAAACCCATCGTCGGTTGAATATGAAAACGATGTGCTAAATACACAAGTAAATAAATAACTGCTGTCACTAAATAAGTAAAAATACAAATAATTACTAAAACTAAATACCAGTATTGAAAAGTAAAAAATTAATACAAGTTATGGACTTGCCGCCATCATGCTGGGTAATTATCTTCAGTTTCATCTAAGCTTTTTTCATCTCCAAGCTTTTGCATCATCATAAAGTCGAACTATTGTAAGTCAAGGAGCACCTGTACGTAATATTATTTTTATAACTAATTATAGCTTTAAAATTATATAAAAGATTATTTAGTCTTATTCCTCTTAAAACAAATGTGTAATGTCTGAGTATCTTTGTTGGTTGTAATGTTTCTTCAACCATTGGCTTTTTCAATCCAATAGAGAGAGAGTAAATACAGGAGACGGTCAAAGAAGTGGAGAGGCAGTTTTAAAGTGTTCAGTCCCTCATCCTTGTTAGATGTTTATTCACTAATCCTTGTTAGGTGTTTAGTTCCTCATCCTCACTGGTGTTCAGTCCTCATCCTTGTTAGGTGTTCAGTCCCTTAGCCTTGTTAGGTGTTATTCCCTCATTCTTGTTTGATGTTTAGTCCCTCATCCTTGTTAGGTGTTCAGTCCCTCAGTCTTGTTAGGTGTTCAGTCCCTCAACCTTGTTAGGTGTTTAGTCCCTCATCCTTGAGGGACTGAACACCTATCAATTCTGAGGGACTGGATACTTCAAATTACCTTTTCGCTTTTCCACCATCTCCAGTATTTATTCTCTGAATTGGATTGAAAAAGTCACTGACTAACATAACACTATTCTTTGATAATCAGCATTGGTGTGCAGTGTCTGTTTCTATCCAGACAGGCAGCTGGTTAGTAATTTATATTGAATATACTTTCTCAGTTAAGTCACTTTGCCCTAGTGGAAAATGGCAGATATTTTTCTTTCAACACACCGGCCGTATCCCACCAAGGCAGGGTGGCCCAAGAAGAAAAACGAAAGTTTCTCTTTTAAATTTAGTAATTTATACGGGAGAAGGGGTTACTAGCCCCTTGCTCCCGGCATTTTAGTCGCCGGTGGTCTGGTGGCTAAAGCTCCCGCTTCACACACGGAGGGCCCGGGTTCGATTCCCGGCGGGTGGAAATTCCGACACGTTTCCTTACACCTATTGTCCTGTTCACCTAGCAGCAAATAGGTACCTGGGTGTTAGTCGACTGGTGTGGGTCGCATCCTGGGGGACAAGATTAAGGACCCCAATGGAAATAAGTTAGACAGTCCTCAATGACGCACTGACTTTCTTGGGTTATCCTGGGTGGCAAACCCTCCGGGGTTAAAAATCCGAACGAAATCTTATCTTATCTCTTATCTTAACCCTTTGACTGTCGCGGCCGTATATATACGTTTGCGAGGTACCGTGTTTGACGTATATATACTCATAAATTCTAGCGGCTTCAAATCAGGTAGGAGAAAGCTAGTAGGCCCACATGTGAGAGAATGGGTCTGTGTGGTCAGTGTGCACCACATAAAAAAAATCCTGGAGCACGCAGTGCATAATGAGAAAAAAAAAACTCCGACCGTTTTTTTTAATTAAAATGCCGACTTTGTGGTCTATTTTCGTATAGTATTTGTGGTTGTATTCTCGTTTTCTTGGTCTCATTTGATAGAATGGAAACTATATTATAGAAATGGAGGTGATTTTGATTAATTTTACTATAAAAAGAACCTGGAAATGGAGCACAAAGTACAGGAAATGTTTGATTTTTGCCGATGTTCAAAAGTGAACAAATGATGTCATTGTCCAATAAATGTCCAAATAGCCATTCTAATACGCAGTCATGAATGGGTTGATGTAATTTTTACAATTATTACAGTATTGCAGTAGTCTGCATAACAGTAAATCTTCTATTTTTTGTTTGAATAAAATTTCAAAATAAAAAGCAAGAGTAATATCACAGGGACCTGGAGACATGACTGATGAACAAAGAAAATGTTATTTTAGAGCCAGGAATGTCTGCATTGTTCATTCTGGACCTTATTTTGAAATTGTCGTATTTTTTAATTTTCGTGAAATTGGCCAAATTGCAAATTTCTGACCATGCTATTGGGTAGTTGAAATCGGTAAATGGGCAGTTTCTTGTACTCAATCGATAGAAAAAATAGAGTTCTGAAGAAATAGTTATGAGTTTGGTTGACTGGAATAACGGAATTAGCCGAAAATAGGGCTCAAAGTGGGCGAAATTGCCGATTTTTAAATATCGCCGAAGTCGCTAACTTCGCGAGAGCGTAATTCCGTCAGTTTTCCATCAAATTTCGTTTTTTTGGTGTCTTTACAATCGGGAAAAGATTCTCTATCATTTCATAAGAAAAAATAATTTTTTTTTTTTCGAATATTTTGCGACACCAGAAGCAACTTCAGGATTTGGCCCTTCGACAGTCAAAGGGTTAACACGCATGGCTTACAGAGGAAGAATTCTGTTCCACTTCCCCATGGAGATAAGAGGAAATAAACAAGAACAAGAACTAGAAAGAAAATAGAAGAATACCTAGAGGTGTGTGTATATATATGCTTGTACATGTATGTGTAGTGTGACCTAAGTGTAAGTAGAAGTAGCAAGATGTACCTGAAATCTTGCATGTTTATGAGACAGACAAAAGACACTAGCAGTCCTACCATCATGTAAAACAGTTACAGGTTTTCGTTGCACACTCACTTGGCAGGACGGTAGTATCTCCCTGGGCGGTTGCTGTTTACCATCCTACTACCTAGGAAAATGGCAGATATTTTTTTATTTTTTATTATCACACTGGCCGACTCCCACCAAGGCAGGGTGGCCCGATAAAGAAAAACTTTCACCATCATTCACTCCATCACCGTCTTGCCAGAAGGGTGCCTTACACCACAGTTTTTAAACTGCAACATTAACACCCCTCCTTCAGAGTGCAGGCACTGTACTTCCCATCTCCAGGACGCAAGTCCGGCCTGCCGGTTTCCCTGAACCCCTTCATAAATGTTACGTTGCTCACACTCCAACAGCACGTCAAGTATTAAAAACCATTTGTCTCCATTCAATGGCAGATATATAAAATTCAAAAGAATAAGTCACAGAACTAATGGCTGGGGCAGTTCACAGGTTACTCGCTTTGTACAGGAAACTTTAGACAGTGTTTGTCTCCAACCAATTTTGATTTTATAATGGTCTTTCAAATCAGTTTTGATTTGACAATGGTGTTTCAAATCTCCATAGGGAAGTGAAACGGAATTCTTGCTCTGTAAGCCATGCATGTCGTTAGAGGCTACTAAAATGCCGGGAGCAAGAGGCTAGTAACCCCTTCCCCTGTATAAATTACTAAATTTAAAGAGAAAATCTTCAGGTTTTTTCTTTAGGTCACCCAGCCTTGGTGGGACATGGCCAGTTCTTTTAAAAGAAAAAAGTTTCAAATAAATTTTGACTTGATAATTGTGTTTCAAACCAATTTTGATGGTATAATGGTCCAGGATGGACAAAAATTTTGTCTGATATTTCTTTTTCAAGTTATGGGTTAGTTGTAAAAATCATATACTATTTTATATAATTGACTAGACCTTCTTTCCCAGAGTGTAGAGGAAGGAGAATCCCCATCTAAGCCTGTTTATGCAGCCTCCATGCTGGAGTGGGGAGCGTATAGAGACGCAGTAGATAGAAAAGATGTCTATTGGTACTGGTCCTTCTTAAAGAAATACATGACTTATGTATTTTCCAGCTATAAAGGTAATTATTTAATCATGATGTGGTCATGGTAATTTGTTAGTCAAGAAACAGGGAAGTCTCTCTTCATGCCCTTGTGGGTAAATTAGTGTTTGCTTACTGTTGCTGGGTATCAGTGATTACCGATCTTTGGTGTGCTGATGTATGATATCTGGATTCAGATTCAGATTTTTGGTTTCTTTAATGCAGTACACAGATAATGTAGTTTACATGTAATAAAATATTGTGAGATACAAAAGAAAGCTAGTAATATGCAATTCATTTTGGGCAGACTAATCCTCATGCTTGATGACTACTACAGAACTAGACCGTCTTATTAGTGCTGGGTATTGTTGATTAAGCAACCTCTAGTATACCAGTGAACCTGCATAGACAATCTCTGGCTTAGTGCTGTATTCCTGTGGAACTGCAGCTGCCTTTACCACTGTTATATAATTTTGGTTAAGCATCCGCTGCTTTATCGAAGCTAAAGTTTTTCACCCAGTTTAAAAAAAAAATATCAGTAGGATCCTAGGATAACAGAATTCTTCCTCCGTAGGCCATGCGTGTCATAAGAGGCGTCTAAAATGCTCGGAGCAAGGGGCTAGTAACACCCCTTCTCCTGTGTAATAATAATAATAATATTTATTTCTACAAGTACAGTGGACCCTCGGCTAATGAAAGCATCATCTAATGTTAAATCCGCCTAACGAAGCATTTGAGCGTAAAAATTTTGGCCCAGCCAACAGTGAAAAACTCACCCAATGTGATTCGTCCGGTATGCGTCCACATGTGGCCCGAGCGCGCCTCAGCTGTCCAGTGTGTGCCAGTGTTTACAAGCCAGCCAGTGTGGTTGCATCCATGCATACATTCAGTACATTTTATATTACCCCAGTGTTTTTAGTGGTTGTAACTATAAAATAAGTCACCATGGGCCCCAAGAAAGCTTCTAGTGCCAACCCTGTGGTAAAAAGGGTAAGAATTAGTATGGAATTGAAAAAAGAGATTAAGGAAATGTGTGCAAATTGGGTTGAACTGCATCCTTTATGGATGAAAATCACCCTAACACAGCTATTGCAAGCCGTGCTTGTGACTGTTACAATGACAATGTTGTGGCCCATTTTAGGCAAATCTTAAAGGAACGTGAGGTACAGAGCTCTATGGACAGATTTGTTGTGCGACAGAGGTCCAGTGACTCTCAAACTGGTCCTAGTGGCATTAAAAGAAGGGCAGTAACCTCAGAAAAGGACTTGCTACCTCAAATCCTCATGGAAGGGGATTCCCCTTCCAAAAATTAATAACATCCATCATCTCCCCTCCTCCTATCCCATCAGTCATCACTAGAGCTTCAGTAAAGGTAAGTGTCATGTATTCTTTATTTAGTACAGTAGTAATTGTGCATGTCTTCTTCTTTTTGTGTGAAGGAAAATGTCTATTTCATGCGGTAATTTTTTTTTTTTCATACTTTGGGGTGTAAGGAATGGATTAATTTGATTTCCATTATTTCTTATGGGGAAAATTAATTCAGCTAATGATAATTTCGTCTAACGATGAGCTCTCTGGAACGGATTAATATCGTTAGCCGAGGGTCCACTGTACATGTGCAAGGTATACAGGCCTAGTTGATATAGAAAGCCACTTGTTATGCAGAGCATTTTGGACAAATTAGGTCAGTTTTGTCCCGGGATGCGTCCGGCACCAGTCCACTAACACCCAGGTACACCTTTTACTGATGGATGAACGTAGACAACCAGCATAAAGAAACACGCCCAATGTTTCAACCCTTGCCGGGAATTGAACCCAGACCCTCATGATGTGATGTGAGAGCTTTTGCCACCAGGCCACAAGCCACCTTATGTTACTAACTTTATAAAGAGAAACTTTCATTTTTTCTTTTTGGGCCACCCTGCCTTGGTGAGTTACAGCCAGTTTGTTAAAAGAAGTACATGTATCCTGTTATGTCGAATAATGTCGTAGTTCTCTATGATTCTGACATCATTTGCTGACTATTCCTCAAGACATCAGTGATGTACTGAATGTCTGTCAGGTCACAGACCGGGCCGCGGGGGCGTTGACCCCTGAAACCCTCTCCAGGTATACTCTCCAGGAACTTAAGTCAGTTCTGTTTGCAGGTGACACAGCTTTTGTCACCTTGCATTTAGATCTTGTTCTCAGCAACATTGTTAATAATGCACTTACAAGGATATCTACCTGGATGACAATCAACAAACTCACACTCACTGTTGATAGCACCTACACACGACTTGCTTGCTGTGGGTTCAAGTCTCGCCCATTCCGTGAATTATTTGCAATCGTGTTATTACACTTTCATGAGTCGCTACGAAAATCACTCACTACGAAAGCAAAAGACTTGGCAGACGATGCAACATCCCCCCAATGAAAAGCAGGGGTGTCACTAGCATGTTAAGAGACCATACAATAAGTGTCAGGGGCCCGAGACTGTTCAACTGCCTCCCAGCATACATAAGGGGGATTACCAACAGACCCCTGGCAGTCTTCAAGCTGGCACTGGACAAGCACCTAAAGTCGGTTCCTGACCAGCCGGGCTGTGGCTCGTACGTTGGTTTGCGTGCAGCCAGCAGTAACAGTCTGGTTGATCAGGCTCTGATCCACCAGGAGGCCTGGTCACAGACCGGGCCGCGGGGGCGTTGACCCCCCGGAACTCTCTCCAGGTAAACTCCAGTCACCTACATAGTGTTTGGTAATTAAGCTGAAAATATTCAGTTGAACATAAAGCTAGAGTCCAAAAAATCATAAATTATCATCAGTTTCGATTAAAATTGATAATCAGCATATTTTAGCTACGAAATGAAGTATGTTAGATAATGCCTCCATCTGCTCTGAAATGTCAAAATATGCAATAATAATAATAATAATAATAGTAATAATAGATTTTTGTAGACTTTAAATGTGATTTTTTAAAATGTGAAATAATCCACACATTGCAAGGCAATTTGAGGGAAAATTCTTTAGTATATACCTTAATAGCAAACTAAGAATTGATACTCATATTTGGCACATATCTATAAAAAAATTTTAAAATAGTGGGCATCCTTGCAAAAGAATGTTATGTTCTTTAACCCTTAAACTGTCCAAACGTAGATCTATGTTTTTTCAACGTTTGAAAGTATGTAAAAAACGTAGATCTATTTTATTTTATATTTGAAAGCGTGTAAAAAAAACTTTGATCTACGTTTTTTTTTTTTTATATATTTGAAAATACGTAAACAAACGTAGATCTACTTTTGGAGCACTACGCATGGGAACGTAGATCTATGTTTGGACAGTTTAAGGGTTAAACACCATTACTCACTAATCTATTTTGACCTCACTTATCCTCTGCGGTGGAGGATCTGCATCAGTTCATCACCTAAAACAGTAACTAGACAAAGCATTTATTCTTAGAATGTTCACTTAGGCTCAAGACAACATTCAACTCCACTATTTTGAAGTTTAAATTTGCTTAAGAACCAAAACATCCACTTAATACAGCACATACTACTTGTACAGGACACTCATTACAAATGTTAATACAGTCCTGAGTCTCTTCTTGGAGAGCTGCAGCAAAATACAGGTACAATACAGGCAAAGTAACATTTATGAAAGGATTCGGGGAAACCAGTTAGATGGACTCGAGTCCTGGAGGTGGGAAGTATAGTGCTTACAGTCTTCGGAGAGTTGTTGCAGTTTTTGAAATATAGTATCGGCACGCCCCTGGAAAGACAGTGATGGAGTGAGTGATCATGAAAGTATTTCTTCTTTTTTGGGTCACCCTGCCTCAGTGGGAAACAACCAGTTTGTTAATAAACAAAAAAAAACAAGTAGCAAACATTTCTTGTTGACATGCCATGAGTTTAACTTAACCTTGGTAGGAATCCCATACCAAAAACTGGCCCAAAATTACTACAAACCCTATTAGAAAATTCTGAAACTTCACTATCTACCAACTGTAACACAATTACATATTGTTAAAAACAACCTCCGCCATTTGATGCAAATTTACATCTATCAGATAATAGTCAGGTACAGTGCATGTAATGCAACCTTATCCAGATACCAGTCAATATTCATATTTAATCACTTTTTGTTACTACTGTATTTCTAACAGGAATTGTTATAACTAAAATTGTCAGGTACAATTTTGTGTTTGTATATCTTCATACAGTATTTTTGTATTTGTTATCAATGTTATACAGTACCAACGAGATGAAGAATTGGACGCCTGCAACATCTAGGTATCTTTACTTGCAGATGTTTTGTGAAACGTGTAGAAGTAAAGACACCCAGACGTTGTGCATGTCTAATTCTTCCTTTTTGTGTTTGGATCTCTAAATAACCAGTTACAAATAAATTTGATTAATTTGCAGAAGTTCCAATATGTGATTAACATGCCTGAGCATTTCAGGCAGACTTATCCTAATTCTTACAGAATACTTAAAGCTAGGCATAGGTTATAGAGTTAGCTGGACTTGAGTCCTGGAGGTGGGAAGCACAGTACCTGTACTCTGAGGGAAAGGTTTGGGATATTTGCTGTTTTGAGGAACATCTAAACTGTCATATCTGTGTGCCTCTGGCAAGATAGTGATAGTGTGAATGATAGTGAAAGTGTTTCAATTTTGCGTCACCCTGCCTTGGTGGGAGACGGCCATCGTGTTCAAAATTCAAATTCAAATTTTATTTCTTCGCAAAGTTCACAATGTGTGATCCTTCTTTTCCTCAACTCATTGGCCGTCTCCCATCAAGGCAGGGTGACCCAAAAAAGAAAGAAACTCTCGCCATCATTCAACACTTTCACTTTCACCATCATTCACTCATAATCACAGTGATAGTTTAAATGTCACTTCAAACAGCCAATATCCCAAACCTCTCCTTTAAAGTGCAGGCATTGTACTTCCCACCTCCAGGACTCAAATCCAGCTAACCGGTTTCCCTGAGTCCCTTCACAAAGTGTATACAGGAGAAGGGGTCACTAGCTCCATGCTCCTGGCATTTTAGTTGCCTCTTATGATACGCATGGCTTACAGAGGAAGAATTCTGTTCCACTTCCCCATGTAGATAAGACGAAATAAACAAGAACAAGAACTAGTAAGAAAATAGAAGAAAACCCAGAGGGCTGTGTGTGTGTGTGTGTGTATATACATATATGCTTGTACATGTATGTGTAGTGTGACCTAAGTGTAAGTATAAGTAGCAAGACGTACCTGAAATCTTGCATGTTTATGAGACAGGAAAAAGACACCAGCAATCCTACCATCATGTAAAATAATTACAGGCTTTCATTTTACACTCACTTGGCAGGATGGTAGTACCTCCGTGGGTGGTTGCTGTCTACCAAGCTACTTAATTACTTATAATTATCATTGCATTTAGCAATACCTTCATATGCCCTGATTATTTTAAAGTTAATCTTGAAATAATTTAACTTTGTCTGTTTTTTAACAAGTCGGCCATCTCCCACCAAGGCAGGGTGACCCAAAAAGAAAGAAAATCACCAAAAAGAAAGAAAATCCCCAAAAAGAAAATACTTTCATCATCATTCAGCTCTTTCACCTCACTCACACATAATCACTTTTTGCAGAGGTGCTCAGAACACAACAGTTTAGAAGCATACACATATAAAGATACACAACATATCCCTCCAAACTGCCAATATCCCAAACCCCTCCTTTAAAGTGCGGGCATTGTACTTCCCATTTCCAGGACTCAAGTCCGACTATAAGAAAATAACCGGTTTCCCTGAATCCCTTCACTAAATATTACCCTGCTCACACTCCAACAGCTCGTCAGGTCCCAAATACCATTCGTCTCCATTCACTCCATTCAACTTTGTCTGTATAATGTCAAATTGTTTTTTAGGTCTTGAGTTTTACTCTGCCCAAAATGCTGTGTATAACTAGACACTTTTCAAAATGTATCAAATACAAATTATTTTTTAATAATTACATTTATTTTTAAAATAAAATGTTTATTTCTTTGGAAAATGAAAAAACTTTTCATCTGTTGCTAAAATAAACAAATGTTATTAACTTGAGTCTGAGGTCAGAATTGAGTCAGCACTTCAGGAGTTGTAATCAGTGTATTTTTAAGGCAGTGTTAAGAATCGAGCAGTTTTAACAATTGATTTATTTGCATATGTTCAATTGCAGTTAGTAATACCTAAAATACCTAAGCATTTTTAACTATAACAGAACTATGACCTGAGCATTTTTAGACTATAACAGAACTATAACCTGAGCATTTTTAAGACTATAACAGAGCAACACTCTGTTATAGTCTTAACATATGCACATGCTGCTCAGTTAATTATTGCTATATTAGTCTTAACATAGGCTAAAGTTTGCCCAAAATCCTCTGTATACTAAGGGGCTTTTAACAGACACCTAAATGTTGCCCATCTCTATACAAACATTGTATTGTGATGAGATAAAGACTCTGATCTTTAATTGTCACAGTTTTCCATCATTAATCAGATTACATGAAAATAGATTCCTAACTTTTTTTTTATATATATACCCCCAGAAATCATTGTGTTAGGGTAATCATGATTCTGGATTTAAATTTGGCATACTTACTAGCAAATTTGGGACATAGCATTAGTCTACTGTTATGAGTAGGATTTCAATTTAAAAATTATGTACATACAGTGGACCCCCGGTTAACGATATTTTTTCACTCCATAAGTATGTTCAGGTGCCAGTACTGACCGAATTTATTCCCATTAGGAATATTGTGAAGTAGATTAGTCCATTTCAGACCCCCAAACATACACGTACAAACGCACTTACATAAATACACTTACATAATTGGTCGCATTCGGAGGTAATCGTTATGCGGGGGTCCACTGTATTTTGTATTTTCTCCATGGGGAAGTGGAACATAATTCTTCCTCCATAAGCCATGCGTGTCGTAACAGGCGACTAAAATGCCGGGAGCAAGGGGCTAGTAACCCCTTCTCCTGTACATATTATTAAATTTAACAGGAGAAACTTTTGTATTTTCTTTTGGGCCGCCCCGGCTCTGTGGGATACGGCCGGTATGTTGAAAGAAGAATATCTTTGTATAATATAAAAATGCATTTTTATTTTATTTTTGCTGATGATTATCTCTTCCGGTTAGTGCACTGTCAACTGTTTTAAATTCCCATCTAACTCTCAGCATTATTATATCATTGATATACAATACTGACTAGCGTCTGAATTACACACATGCACAACACCTAGGTATCTTTATTTTCAATGTGTCACCGCCCATTGGCTTTATCAGTTCAGTAGATTATTCGGTACAGGAGGACCTTGCTAATAGAGCAGTTTTCAGTTATACCCATTCTTCATTTATCCAGACTTCCTACAATAAATACTTTTTACGGTGGGAGACGGCCGACTTGTTGAAAAAAAAAAAAAAGTGTACTGTATGTGCATTTTTTAGGCCTTGCTCTATTGCTCACTTAATATACAATAGTGTAAACATGATGTCGACTTACATATACATTTGAAAGTGAAAAAGAAAAAAGTTTCACTTTACAGCAGTAGCCCTGCTGTATAAGTGGGGTCCTCCTGTATATGGACGAGAGTAGATGATGGTTTCTTCATCTTCTGTGTATCTCTGTATTGAATTGAAAATGCCACCAGTTGACAAAATGTCTTCAAAATGAAGATAATACGCAGGTGTTGCACATGTTTAATTCATCTAATCTCAACATCCCTACCTTCTTCAATAACGTTGAATTTATCCTAAAAGTACTTTTTTACTTTATTTTATTGTAATTGTCTTGCATGTTCTTTGTTTAAGTCAGAAAATTTAAGAATACCATGGTTTCCACTACGATTTGAAATATTTCTGGCTTCCAGATATTACATGGGACTGTGCAGCAGAGGTGGAATATTCTGTTCCTTGCTCGGGTTGCTCTCGATGTCGTGTAAATATCGACCAAGAGAACACCCAGAGGAACAGTGCTGCTGAAACTCCTCGAAGATGGTGGATGGCATATATCCCCAAAGCCAAACCAGTGGTAGGAAGGAAATCAGGTAAACATAAGAGGTGTACATCCTGGGTGTGCTAGGTAAGCGCTGCACGCAGGGGTGGATCTACTTTGAAACTAACGGAGCTTAAGCTTCAAGGCCCCTAATCCTGGAGGGGCCCCATAAGTGACTGTAGTCCATGTTAAAAAATTTTGGGTCTACTGTATGAGAAAGGGTTGCAAAGGGGCCCCCCATAACACTTCTAGCTTCAGGGCCCAAAAATGGAGGTCTGCCACTGGCAGCACACCCACCAGTGATGGTAAATTCATCATACATATTAAGCTCTGGAGCAAGGGGCTAGTAACCCCTAATCCTATATACATTACTAAATTTAAAGGGGAAAGCTTATAGTGTTTTTCTTTTTTAGGTCACCTGGCCTCAGTGGGATACAGCCGGTTTGTTAAAAAAAAAATATTAAGCTCACTCAATAATATAATCGTGGATCATAATGGGAAACTAATTTTTCTGTGTCCCCCTGTTATAACATATTGTGGCAGTTTGTATGTTTATTTTTGAGTAATACTTATGCCAGAGTAATAAGTCCAGCACGGTAACACTGCACACGCCCTGTGACAATAACCACTATACACCACACACGCCCTGTGACAATAACCACTATACACCACACACGCCCTGTGACAATAACCACTATACACCACACACGCCCTGTGACAATAACCACTATACACCACACGCCCTGTGACAATAACCACTATACACCACACACACCCTGTGACAATAACCACTATACACCACACACGCCCTGTGACAATAACCACTATACACCACACGCCCTGTGACAATAACCACTATACACCACACACCCCTGTGACAATAACCACTATACACCACACACGCCCTGTGACAATAACCACTATACACCACACACACCCTGTGACAATAACCACTATACACCACACACACCCTGTGACAATAACCACTATACACCACACACCCCTGTGACAATAACCACTATACACCACACACCCCTGTGACAATAACCACTATACACCACACACACCCTGTGACAATAACCACTATACACCACACACGCCCTGTGACAATAACCACTATACACCACACACACCCTGTGACAATAACCACTATACACACACACACCCTGTGACAATAACCACTATACACCACACACACCCTGTGACAATAACCACTATACACCACACACACCCTGTGACAATAACCACTATACACCACACACACCCTGTGACAATAACCACTATACACCACTGGTAAACTTTATAAAATATATAATTGCCAATGCACATTTGGTTCATCTTACAAAAATCACTTCTTGTAGAAATTTTCCTGTCATTATTATATTTTGTAGGGCCATACAACCCATGAGGAATGGGAGGTATTCAGGTTTACTCTAAGGAAGGGGAGGGTAGCTCTAATTCCCTGAATCAAGAGCTCTTCCCTAAAATCGATTCCCTCCCGTTTCCCTTCAAAAAATTTAGCTTTCTGCTTCAGTACAACACTTGCCATGTTTCATACAGATGAAGAAAAAATTGACTACAGCAGTATAATTAATGAAGAATGTGGAGTAATGCACAAGACGACCTTCAATAATATCTGCGATGTTACAGTGTCAACAAGAAATACACCACAGTCATTGGATGTTCCCAGTTATGCACTCTCACTAAAAACAGGTAACAATTTGCAGTTTATTTTTAAACCCATTCTGAGTTTTTTTTTAAAGATGAACCTTAATTTTCATTTTTTTAACACATCGGTCATCATTCACCAGCTTTGAAAATGGCATAAAATACAAATGAGTTGAAAATTTAGACATGGCTGCAACAGTTGGGTATCTTCATTGTTGAAAAGTTTCGCCTACACAGTAGGTTTCTTCAGTCAGATACAGAGGCAGCAGTGTAGTAGTGAAATAAAGATGATGTAATCAGTCCATCAACCTTGGAGAAAAGTATTTGAGGTGGTCAGTCCCTCGGCCTGGAGGAAAGTTCAGCTCTATGGTCTGAAACAATATTGTACATTGTCTTTATTTCACTACTACACCTGCTGCCTCTGTATTTGACTGAAGAAACCTGTGTAAGCAAAAGGTTTCATCAATAAAGATACCCAACTGTTGCACACCTGTCTTAATCTTCATCTTTTACCAAGGTTGTGTGACTCTAAAGAGGGTAAATACATTCAGTGTCATCCATTAAATGTTTACCATGCTTGCTGACCTCACAGTTCAGATGACCCTCTGAACTGCAATATCCTCATACCTCCTTCAGACTTCAGGCGCTGCTGAAGAGGATCCTCAAGTAGAAATAGAAATATTCAGTTTTGTTTTAATTGTCGATTTTCAAAATTAGGATTTTTTTTTTTTTTTTTTTTTTTTTTTTTTTTTTTTTTTTTTTTTTTTTTTTTTTTTTTTTTTTTTTTTTTTTTGAGTGACTGGCGAATGCTCCATTATACAAATAACCCGCACTTGGAAGAGAAGCTTATGACAGTATTTCAGTCTGACTTGGACCATTTACAAGTTGGGTTATTTGTGTATTGTTCCAGTCATGGTATTGTGCTTTTTTTTGTTCCAAATGTCCTGTTATATTAAAATTTCTGTACTTTAATTGCAGCATTTGTTTTGTATAATACATTCATCTTTCCTTGGGAAAACAGGTGTATCTTGCTACTTCTACTTACACTTAGGCCACACTACACGTGTATGTATGTACAAGCGTATGTACAGCCTCTCCTCACTTAGTGACGTACTCGTTTACAGACAACTCGGACTTATGAAGGGCTGTCTGACCAGTATACATATCTATATAGTGTATATTTGAGCTGATTTCCTCTATTCTGTTTATTACAATATACATTACACTACTATATAAACATTTAAAAATACAGTGGACCCCCGCATAACGATTACCTCCAAATGCGACCAATTATGTAAGTGTATTTATGTAAGTGCGTTTGTACGTGTATGTTTGGGGGTCTGAAAGGAATAATCTACTTCACAATATTCCTTATGGGAATAAATTCGGTCAGTACTGGCACCTGAACATACTTATGAAGTGAAAAAATATCGTTAACCGGGGGTCCACTGTATACCAGAAATGTTATAAATGGTGCAAAGGTGACATTCAGACAATACCAAAGATATTTGACACAAGCCTACTACCATTATAGTATGCTCCTCACTTAGCGATGAATTCGTTTACTGATGAGGTCTTAGGAATGGAACTCTGTCGTTAAGTGAGGAGAGGCTGTATACCCACTCATCTGGGTTTTCTTCTACAGTGGAACCTCAAATATCGAACTTTCTTCGGTCCAGAAGGCTGTTCGAGTGCCTTTACCGAATGAATTTATTCCCATCAGGAATAATGTAAATTAGATTAGTCCATTTCAGACCCTCAAAAATACACTTATAAAAGCACTTACAAAAATACACTTACATAATTGGTTGTGTTGGGAGCAGTTTGATTTTTGAGGTTCCACTCTATTTTCTTACTAGTTCTTGTTTATTTCCTCTTATCTCCATGAGGAAGTGGAACAGAATTCTTCCTCCGTAAGCCGTGCGTGTTGTAAGAGGCGACTAAAACATTGGGAGCAAGGGGCTTGTGACTCCTTCTCTTGTATACATTACTAGAGTTAAAACAAGAAAAACTTGCGTTTTTCTTCTTAGGTCGCCCTGCCTCAGTGGGATACATCCAGTTTTGTGAAAAAAGTGTATCTTCTTGCATGATTAACTTTAATAGCTTTTTTAATTATCCCAAATTACAGATGCACATATTTTAACACCTGGTTCTTATTTCTTTCTTTTTTCTTGGTATTACAATCCATGAATAAAGAATCTCAGCCAATGACTCGTAACAGGCACAAAACAGGGGCACGCCGCATAACCCATTCCTCCTGAATATACAATTTAAAAGGTAGTACTTCAGTTTTTTGTGTTTTGGGTTGAATGGACTCTACCACATACTAGTGGGATAATCGGTCAGTACGTCTGAATAGGAAGAGAAAAAAAACACGTTAACTGACGGAGTACACATAATCTGCACCTGAGAAGATGAAACTTGTGATGATGTTTCAATCTGACTTGGGCTATTAGCTAGTCACACACAAGCACAAAGGGAAGGGAGCTAGTATATATAATGGTCCAAGTTAGACCAAACATCATTGTAAGTTTTATCCTCCTATGTACGAATTACAGTGGTACCTTGACTTGTGAGTGACCCAACTTGCGAGTTTTCTGAGTTACGAGCCGTCGCTTGATCGATATTTTGCTTTGAGTTGCAAGCCAAAATCCGAGTTATGAGCGAGCTTCAGATATGCCACCACTCGCAGGAGAGAGGAAATATCAAAAACCTTGATAATAGCCAGTGTATACCATCATTTCAATTTTGATACCACTGGTAGTGTCATCCTGCCAGAATGTTCTATAACGTATGCCTCTAAGTAAAGAGAAACAATTCTGGAACATGTGTAATACATATTCGGCATGCCGGCTGGCTGGCTGGCTGATTTGCTTCGGCTGTCTCTATCTCCTTCTGTCTGTCTGCATCTTCCTCTCTCTCTGTCTGTCTCTATCTCACAGGTACACACAAATACAGTTATACATAGTGTAACTTATCTAGGATAACCAAAAAATCCAGACAAAGTGCTATGCTGTACTATGCTTGTAGATATAAGGCATAATAAGCATGACTGGCAAGTAATACACATTTTTACTAGTTCAGGAATCAGAGGTGCCAACTCTTCATCATGTGTAATACCTGTTGGTTCATGAGCGGCTCTCTCTCTGAGACAGAGATAAGTAGAGAGGAAGACAGAAATGCAGACAGACAAAAGACAGATAAGCAGAGACAGAGATAAACATAGACAGAGCTAGACATACAGAAAGAAACAGAAAGAAACAAACAGACAGACGTGTTTATTTGTAACAATGAAAAATAAATTCGAGGCAGTGCACGATCATCAAATGTCACTCCACTATTGGCACTCCACTGGCAGTGGAGTGACAGATAGACATGTTAATGTATAATAGCGAAAAATAAAGCCAAGGCAGTGCACGATCATCAAATATCACTCCACTACTTGGCACTCCACTGGCACTGAAGTGACACTCATCTTACACCATGCTTCAAGGAGTGTAAAACGAAAGCCTGTAATTGTTTTACATGATGGTAGGATTGCTAGTGTCTTTTTTCTGTCTCATACACATACAAGATTTCAGGTACGTCTTGCTACTTCTACTTACACTTAGGTCACACTACACATACATGTACAAGCATGTATACACACACCCCTCTGGGTTTTCTTCTATTTTCTTACTAGTTCTTGTTCTTGTTTATTTCCTCTTACCTCCATGGGGAAGTGGAACAGAATTCTTCCTCCATAAGCCATGCGTGTTGTAAGAGGCAACTGAAATGCCGGGAGCAAGGGGCTAGTAACCCCTTCTCCTGTATATATTACTAAATGTAAAAGGACAAATTTTTTTTTTTCCTTTTGGGCCGCCCCGCCTTGGTGGGATACGGCCGGTTTGTTAAAAAAAACAAAATTACTTTTTCTTATTTAAAAACCTTAAAAAAAATTGGGGTGTTTTTTCGGGGGGTTGGAAGGGATTTATGACATTTCAATTATAATTTCAGTGAGGAAAATTTATTTGATATACGAGCAGATTGAGTTACGAGCTCGGTCACAGAACGAATTAAATTCAAGGTACCACTGTATTTGCATATATGAAATAGGTAATGGGTTACTAAAAGCAGTAGTGAGTTTGTATGCAGATAGTCCCAGCAGACTTCTGGAAAGACAGTGATGGAGTGAGTACTGGTGGATGTGTTTTCTTCATTTGGTTCAACTTACCTTGGTGGGGTGGGAGGGAGAGGGTCTGCCATTGAGTTAAAAAAAAAAAAATCTCAGGACTTTTCAATACATCTGTTTTGCTGAAATATTTTGCTAAAACCAAAAGATATTTTGTGCATTTTAAAGAAGATAAGATAAGATTTCGTTTCGATTTTTAACCCTGGAGGGTTAGCCACCCAGGATAACCCAAGAAAGTCAGTGCGTCATCGAGGACTGTCTAACTTATTTCCATTGGGGTCCTCAATCCTGTCCCCCAGGATGCGACCCACACCAGTCGACTAACACCCAGGTACCTATTTGCTGCTAGGTGAACAGGACAATAGGTGTAAGGAAACATGTCAAAATGTTTCCACCCGCCGGGAATCGAACCCGGGCCCTCCATGTGTGAAGCGGGAGCCTTAGCCACCAGAATAAGAGGCACAGTATCATAACTGAAACAATACACAAATAACCCACATATAAGGGAAGAACCTTGCGACAGCGTTTCTGTCCAACTTGAACCAAAATGTCGTCATGAGTTTCTTTCCTCTGTGTGTGAAACATTTGTTCTGTGTTCTGGAGTTTGAAAAAAGTAACATTTATGAAGGAATTAACCAGGTTAAGCCAGACTTGGACTCTATTGTAAGTACAGTACCTTGATCCAGAAGATTGGCTGAGCATGCTCTAGTCTGGAATATCATTTGATTTGTGATGTCTGTTTCTGGAAAGAAAACTATTTCTTCAACAATGGTGAATATTTCCTATTTTGGGTCACTGTAACCGGAGAGAAAATAAGATTATCTTTTTTTACCCTTAAACTATCCAAACGTAGATCTACGTTTTTTCAACATTTGTAAGTATGTAAAAAAAACGTAGATCTTCCTTTTTTTTTTTTTTTACATCTGAAAGCGTATAAAAAACTTTGATCTACATTTTTTTTTTTTTTTGTTATATTTGAAAATATGTAAAAAATGTATTTCTACTTTTGGAGCATTACACACGTGAACGTAGATATATGTTTGGACAGTTTAAGGGTTAACATAACAGCCATTTTCCACTGAGACAGGGTGACCTGAAAAAGAAGAAACACTTCTATCATCACTCGCTCCATCACTGTCTTGCCAGAGGCATGCCGATACCACAGCTCAAAAACTGCAACATATTTCTGTCCTTCAGAGAGCAGGCACTGTACTTTCCACCTCCAGGAGTCAAGTCTCGCTAACCAGCTTCCCTGAGTCCCTTTACAAATGTTACTTCGTAAACAAATATGCTTTCGTGTTTTGTTATTTTTTCTTTGGAATTTTGTTTTACTGTCGCTTAGTAATTTAACATTATTATTGTGATAATGCTGATTTTTCTTTAATTGGAATACCTTTCCACAGGTCCAGCCAATATTGGAACCTTAGAATTTATCAAAGAAGGTTGGAGCAGAGAATGGGATAAAGTAAAGAGTTATGCATCTGAAATTAATATTGGGGAAATAATATTGAGACCAAGTGAGAAAAAAACTGAAAAGGTAAGTTATACTCATAACTTTTATAAGTATGGTAGTTGTGATGGTGGGAAGTGCAGTGCCTGCACTCTGAAGGATGGATGAGGATGTTACATTATTATTATTATAATCAAGGGGGAAGCGTTAAACCCGTAGGATTATACAGCGCCTGGGGGGGATGTGGAAGGCATTCAGGCTTAATTCGGGGAACTGGAGCACAGATCCAATTCCCTAAATCAAGAGCTCCTCACCAACATCAAGGAACCTTCCCTGAGGGGTGAGGATGTTACAGTTCTGGAGGTGGAAAGTACTGTGCCTGTACCCTGAAGGATGGGTGAGGATGTACAGTTCGGAGGGGGGAAAGTACATGCCTGCACTCTAAAGGAGGGTGAGGATGTTACAGCCCTGGGGTGGAAGTACAGTACCGCACCTGAAGATGGTGAGGATTTACAGTTCGGGTGGGGGAAGAAACAGTACCTGCATCTGAAGGATGGGTGAGGATGTTACAGTCTGGAGGTGGGAAGTACAGTACCTGCACTCTGAAGGATGGGTGAGGATGTTACAGTTCTGGAGGGGGGAAGTACTACCTGCACCAAGGAGGGTGGGGGAGGGAAACAGTTCTGGGGGGAAAGTACAGTACCTCACTCTGAAGGATGGGTGGGGGGTTTTTTACAGTTCGGGAGGTGGAAGTACAGTCCTGCACTCTGAAGGATGGTGGGGGAGGTACAGTCCTGGAGGGGGGAATACAGTACCTGCACTCGAAGGAGGGGGGAGGTACATTTCTGGAGGGGGGGAAGTAAGTACCTCACTTAAAGGGATGGGGGGGGGATTTTACAGTTCTGGGGTGGGAAAGTACAGTACCTCCCTAAAGATGGGGGGGAGGGTACAGTCCTGGAGGTGGAAGACAGTACCGCACTCTAAAGGAGGGTGGGGGATTTTTACAGTTCTGGAGGGGGGAATCAGTACCTGCACTCGAAGAGGGGGTGGGGAGGTACAGTCCTGGAGGGGGAAGTACGTACCTGCACTCTAAGGAGGGGTGGGGGTTTTTACAGTTCTGGAGGGGAAGTACAGTACCTGCACTCTGAAGGATGGGTGGGGGATGTAAAATACTGGAGGGGGGAATACAGTACCTGCACCTGAAGGAGGGGTGGGGGAGGGTACATTTTCTGGAGGGGGAATACAGTACCTGACTCTAAAGGGATGGGGGGGGGAGTTACAGTCCTGGAGGGGGGAAAAGTACAGTCCCTGCACTCAAAGGGATGGGGGGGGATGGTACAGTTCTGGGGTGGGAAGTACAGTACCTGCACTCAAAGGGAGGGGTGGGGGATTTAATTTTTCTGGAGTGGAAGTACAGTACCGGGCACCTGAAGGATGGTGAGGATGTTACAGTTCTGGGGGTGGGAATACAGTACCTGCACTCAGAAGGAGGGGTGAGGATGTTACAGTTCTGGAGGGGGGAAGTACAGTACCTGCACTCTGAAGGATGGGTGAGGATTTACAGTCCTTGGAGGGGGGAATATAGTGTCTGCACTGACCCAAGAAATCGTAATGACACATTGCAAACAAACCATACCCCCGCTGGGTTTGAACCCGCGGTCATAACTCAAACTCCAGCCCTCGCGTTAGCCACTAACCACACCTAAAGGGATGGGTGAGGATTTTACAGTCCGGGAGGGGGGAAGTACATTGCCTGCCCCTTGAAGGAGGGGTTGGGGATGTTACAGTTCTGGAGGGGGGAAAAGTACAGTACCTGCACCTAAGGAGGGGGTGAGGATTTTACGTTCGGGGGTGGGAAGTAAAAAGTACCTGCACTCTAAAGGGAGGGGTAGGATTTTAATTTCTGGGGTGGGAATACAGACCTGCCACTCTAAAGGTGAGTGAGGAGTTACGTTCGGGAGGGGGAAGTACAGTACCTGCACTCGAAGGTAGTGGGGATGGACAGTTCTGAAGAACGAAGACTTTAGTTTTGCTAACCTGTGAATAACTTACCCATGCAAAATCAAAATCCTTTAACATAAGAACATAAGAAAGAAGGAACACTGCAACAGGCCTACTAACCCATGCGAACAGGTCCATGCCCCTCCCCGGATTAACCCAAATGACCCACATACCCCCCGATTTCCCTGACCCACCCAGTCTGGCACCTCCACTCAAGGAAGGAGCAAAAGATGCCCGATCCAGCAGCACAAACAGTCAGGTCCAACTCACACCCACCCAAAACCCACCATGTTTTTTCTAACCTATTTTTAAAACTACACAACGTTTTAGCCTAATAACTATACCAGCAGTTTGTTCCACTCACCCAACCGGCTTTCCTATATCCTTCCTGAATCTGAATTTTTCCAACCTGAAAACCATTGTTGCGAGTCCTGTCTTTGGGTGAAAAATTTTTAGCGCATTTACATCCCCCCTTTTTTTATTCCCGTTTTTTCCCTTTATACACCTTATCATACCCCCCTAATTTTACGCCTTTTGAGAGAGTGAATTCAGGGGCCCCCAGTCTATCCTCATAGGGAAGATTTCTGATACATGGATCATCTTTGTCATCCTCCTCTGCATGTTTTCCCAAATATTTATTCCATTCTGTAATACGGTGACCAGAACTGAGCACATAGTCTAAATGAAGCCTAACCAAGATATAAAGTTGAAGAAAAACCTAGGGCTTTTATTATTTTTTAAACACATGGCCGATTCTCACCAAGGCGGTGGCCCGAAAAAAAAAAAACTTTCACCATCATTCACTCCAACACTGTCTTGCCAGAAGGTGCTTTTCACACAGTTTTTTAAACTGCAACATTAACACCCCCCCTTTAGAGTGGGAGGCCGTACTTTTCCCCCTCCAGGACTCAAATCCGGCCTGCCGGTTTCCCCCGAACCCCTTCATAAATGTTACTTTTCTCACCCCTCCAACACACTCAAGTATTTAAAAAAATATTTGTCCCATTCACTCCCATCAAACCGCTCAGCATGCCTCTGAAGTCCAGCCCCTCGCACAACAAAACCTCCTTTACCCCCCCCCCTCCAACCTTTCCTAGGCCGACCCCTACCCCGCCTTCCTTCCACTACAGACTGATACACTCTTGAAGTCATTCTGTTTCGCTCCATTCTCTCTACATGTCCGAACCACCTCAACAACCCTTCCTCAGCCCTCTGGACAACAGTTTTGGTAATCCCGCACCTCCTCCTAACTTCTAAACTATGAATTCTCTGCATTATATTCACACCACACATTGCCCTCAGACATGACATCTCCACTGCCTCCAGCCTTCCCCTCGCTGCAACATTCATCACCCATGCTTCACACCCATATAAGAGCGTTGGTAAAACTATACTCTCATACATTCCCCTCTTTGCCTCCAAGGACAAAGTTCTTTGTCTCCACAGACTCTTAAGTGCACCACTCACCCTTTTCCCCTCATCAGTTCTATGATTCACCTCATCTTTCATAGACCCATCTGCTGACACGTCCACTCCCAAATATCTGAATACATTCACCTCCTCCATACTCTCTCCCTCCAATCTGATATCCAATCTTTCATCACCTAGTCTTTTTGTTATCCTCATAACTACTCTTTCCTGTATTCACGTTTAATTTTCTTCTTTTGCATACCCTACCAAATTCATCCACCAATCTCTGCAACTTCTCTTCAGAATCTCCCAAGAGCACAGTGTCATCAGCAAAGAGCAACTGTGACAACTCCCACTTTGTGTGATTCTTCATCTTTTAACTCCACGCCTCTTGCCAAGACCCTCGCATTTACTTCTCTTACAACCCCATCTATAAATATATTAAACAACCACGGTGACATCACACATCCTTGTCTAAGGCCTACTTTTACTGGGAAATAATTTCCCTCTTTCCTACATACTCTAACTTGAGCCTCACTATCCTCGTAAAAACTCTTCACTGCTTTCAGTAACCTACCTCCTATACCATACACCTGCAACATCTACCACATTGCTCCCCTATCCACCCTAAAATGCCACAAAGACCTCTTTAGCCTTATCTAAATACTGTTCACTTATATGTTTCACTGTAAACACCTGGTCCACACACCCCCTACCTTTCCTAAAGCCTCCTTGTTCATCTGCTATTATTTATACTTCTAGATATTAAGCCAAGAATTCTGTTAGCTTTATTGCGAACACTAATGCACTGTTGTCTTGGTTTTAGATTACTGCTAACCAGAACTCCTAAATCCTTTACGCAAGCAGTAGTATTAAGGTCTACATTATTTAGTTTATATGTGGCATGGTTATTTACCTGTCCAACATTTAGAACTTTACATTTGTCAATATTAAACTGCATCTGCCTCTTCTCCGACCATTGCATCAGTCTATTCAAATCATCCTGGAGTGCTCTGGTGTCCTCATTAGAATGAATTGGACGGCCTATTTTGGTGTCATCAGCAAATTTGCTTATGTCGCTATTTATTCCCTCATCTATGTCGTTTATGTAAATTGTGAATGACAACGGGCCCAACACTGACCCCTGAGGAACACCGCTTGCGACGTGCCCCCATTTATGCAAACTCTCTGCTGCCTATTTGTCAGCCATGCCTCTACCCAGGAAAAAATTTCTCCTGTTCCGTGTGCCTTAAGTTTCCTCAATAGCCTCTGGTGTGGAACTCTATCGAAAGCCTTACTGAAGTCCATATACACAATACCATATTCATTGCCATGATCTACCTCCTCAAACACCTTAGTGAAAAAAGTTAGTAAATTCATAAGACAGGAACGCCCCTTTGTAAAACCGTGTTGAGATTCATTAATCAATCTGTACCTATGAAGATGGCTACGAATTGCTTCGGCAATTATTGATTCCATAAATTTTCCCACTATGGAGGTAAGGCGTATTGGTCTATAGTTCGAAGCCAAGGACCTGTCACCTGCCTTGTAAATAGGTATTACATTTGCCATTTTCCACTTATCAGGCACTATGCCAATTTGTAGTGATATGTTAAAAAGATTAGTCAAAGGTATGCTAAGTTCCTCTTTACATTCCTTTAACACCCTTGCAAACA